CGCACCGCAAAATTGTTGACGCCGTCTAAATAATATTACGCATTATATTCTATTATGCCTGCACGGTGCGATTACCGCTCGACGTTCACATTTCATGCGTATGTGCGTCCTCCCTTCCCCGGCCGATCACAGGAGGAGGAATCGTCGTTTTCGTCGTTTTCGCCTCACACCACACCCACCTCGCGCCAAACTCCTGACGCCCCGCACCGCGCCACCCCCGCCAACACCGTGGCGTGCGGTATGCGTCGTCGCCCGGGGCGGCGATACTGTGCGGTTTGCGGGTGCGCGCGCAACTAATAACAATATCCCGTGCGTCGTATACTACGCGGACGACGCGGAGCCACCGGCGCCACCGCCTCCAAACACAGCCCCGTCACCACTCCCGCCGACGCCATTTACGCCACCGACGACGCACTGTCCGTCCTCTCCAAACCAGTTCAACCAAAAATCATGCTTTGCGCGATTCCTTAATAGTTGCGCGTTTCCCACTACTCCGCAAGATCCTTGGCGATTTCGCGTATAGGACCCATCGGCGTCCCGAGTAGATACATCTATCACAGATTCCGATATTGTCTTTTTCCTTGAAATTTGTATGCAAATATATTTGTAAAAATGTCCGCCACAACCATTCCTGGCCGAGCGCGTTTTACATGCTTTCTGGTAGTAACCGCCGTAACGCTTTTCTTGCCAATCGCAATCACCGAGGACGTTCCACTCACACCCGTATATTTTAAACCACTCAACATCTCATTCCGGCCGCCGCAAATGTATTTTTATATATTAGGTATAATTATACATTTAAGACTTTATAATATTTACTCGATTTATACATTTTATTTTGCTGACAATATCCAGATATTAATATTATAATTCGTTTTATTTTTTCGCATAGTTGCCGGACGGGTCTCACACCTCGAAAGAGTGTAAGATGGTCACACGTCTTCGTCACAGATCCGTTGCTACTGCAACTTGCGCCAGTGTATGTCCTTCTTCAGCAGCGTACCTGTGTGCTACACCATCCAGGGATGCTTCTCCCATACCAGACCAGCTTTTCAAATTTTCCCGGGCCGTCCCTTCTCGCCAAAACCAACATCACTACCAACCAATCAGAGGAATTTAGCAAATGACTCGTTGCGAATGATAAATAGTTAAATTACTTGGTATTGCTATTTTTAATAAAGTACTAAACCGAACCATTATCTATGAAATTGTTATAAATACGAGCTTATCCATATGTTTAAAAGGGATATTTATACAGAAGAGACCGAGCCGCGTTTACAAGCGATCGCGCTCATTCAATCGTCAAATAAAAAAATAAATAAATACGAATACAAGTTATAATTGTATTCTTTGGTTATATTTTATATAATTCCCTACTTTTGGTGATTCCGACCGAGGTAATAATATAGGTATATAGATAGAAATCGCCTGTTACGCTGAGATAATTTTGATCCATTATTATTATATTTATATCGTGGAGGAATATTAGAACAGGGGGTAGAGGTTGAGAGCGATCACATACTCTTGTTCATTTTTTAATAATATTTTCAAAATTAGATTCACCATAAATTTGTGCTTTGTACGAATTTTCAAATTTGCCTCCTCCCGCCCGTTTTTCTGTACTATATCAATAACCGATTTATGTAGCGGACATTGCGGCATAGGATTGATAAATATATGTAAAAGAAAAAGTATAAACGTTGAATAGGTATCTTTTTACCCGGTTATTTAAAATATATGTACCAGTTACCCATTTTAGTGGGTACACTTATTATCTCGGAAAGTATTAACATTTTCGGAATTTGTGTTCTAGAATATTTAAGAAATAAGTTGCTCTGGAATTTTATATATGTTAATTTTTAATATCCTTATTTTTGGAGGTAAAACTAATACCTACATTTGATTTTAAGTAGCAACCTATATTAAAAATTCCATAAATAGATAGAGTTTTAGATAAACTAAATTTTTGTCTTGAAATTTTCGATTTCCGTCAACTGGTTAACGAGTTATTTCATTTTTAAGGTTGAGTAGGTGAAGAAAACCTATAAAACCCAAACGAGACGTACACGAAGCTCAAAAGGGCGATTTTCAAAGTTCGAATCATCAAATTAAAGTATTGGTAAATGGTGATAATTCGAAAATGGGAGATATGGTAGATTATCCTACATTTAAGAGAGGTTCGATTCTAAATATTAAGTTCGAGAAAGTTGTAGCCGCTGACAGTAACAAGGCATGGATGGACAACAAGAAAATTTTGTGACAGACGTTGAAAGATAAAAAAAATAAAATACGTTTTATTACTACAATATTTTGTAAATTAGATGTAGGTACTTTGTGTACAAGATTTTTGATTAATACAATATTAAGGTTAAACAAATTAGCTTTATTTACAATATTTTGTATGTTAGATTTAATCATTATTTTAAGAAAAAAGTCAAGTTTATAACAATAAGAAAACAAATTTAATTTAGATGACTTATGCACGAGCTTTATAAATAAACATTTATTTTATTAAATATCTATCTAAATTAGCATCATTAATTATTAATACTTTTTCATTTTTACAAATTTAAGCTAGAAATATTAACTCCATTTATTCAATCAAATTGTTTTATTTTATAAAAATCATTAGTTTCACTATTATTATTTGTATTCCGTGTAATTTAATAATTCAATAGAAATGAACGTGTAAGCTTTAGCTACAACAATTGTAATAATATCAACACTCGTTAATATTTTTTTTTAAACATTTTTTATATAATTTGTATTCTTATTTCAGTATGATTTATTATTATATGCAAATATGTTTTTTTTTTTTTTAACATTATATTATTTACGTCAAGTATGATATTAACAGAGAATATTAAAGCAATATACATCTAATTAACTATTATAATTTAACACATATTAAGTACTTATGATATTTTTTATAAATTCAAATAAATGACTAAACATTTTTTATGTCACCATAATACTCGTAGATTTGTTTTCATGTATTCAATTATTATGTAATTTATTGTTTGGATTGACACTATAGGTAATTTTGTATACGTACCATATAGATGAAACGAACATTTTCTTCGTTATTTAAATACAAATAACTTCGCAATCACTTCGTTCAAAGCGTAGTCCAGTAGTACAAGTATTGCGCAGTGGGTATACTGACGTATTGTAGGTTTGTAATAGGTAATTACAACCAAATTGCAACGACCTGGATAATAATATAAAGGTGTCAATTTACATGTCCACGGTGTTTGTCGATTTGCTCCGAATTCGGGCAGTCACGTGTATTATACATGTATATTAAGTAGNCGCCGATTTTTGTTTCACCTCTTCCATCGACTCAAACCGGATTCCTTTTAAGGCAGACTTTATCTTCGGAAACAAGTAAAAGTCGCAGGGTGCCAAGTCGGGTGAGTAAGACGCGTGTTCGAGTACTGGAGTGCCTTAAGCGGCCAAATAACGCTTCACAGACAGCGCGTTATGGGCAGGTGCGTTATCCTGGTGCAAGATCCACGACTTGTTTTTCCACATATCGACTGTTTCTTACGAACTCATTCGCGTAATGTTGCCAAAACTGTAAAATAGTAATGTTGGTTCACAGTTTGACCCTCTGGAACCCATTCAGTCATCACGATGCCGTTGATATCGAAGAAAACGATCAGCATGGTTTTGAATTTGGATTACGACTGAATTGGATTCCGGTGCACTCTCGACCTTCAGAAAATAATTTATGCCACTCAAAAACACGCGCCCGAGATAGGAAATCTTCACTATAGGCCTCTTTTAACAACTTATAGCACTCAGTTGGAATTTTTTTTAGTTTAATGAGAAAATTTTACGTTTATCCGTTGCTCATGTTTTTCGTCACACATCGTTTTCGGCAAGAGAAAAAACATGTTCGTTTCTAAATGCTACAGAAAAAATACTAATGCACCAAAAATACCCCAATTTTGTACTGGCATAATAGATACTTCCAGCTAACCAGCACTGTATTCGGTTTTCCCCTAACCTTTTTGGGACGCTCTCTGCGCGCGCAGTCTCAGTATTTCATAGCCAAACTCCGTAATATAAAGGTGTCAATTTACATGTCCACAGTGTTGTCGATTTGCTCTAAATTTGGGCGGTCACACGTCTCGCTCCTATTTAGAAATATAATTTTAGATTCTGAGTCGTTTTTTGATTTTCTAAGCGGTTTTCATAATATGTCAGAAAACCCGCGATAAAACGAAAAAAAAACGACAACATTTTCGAAAATAATGTATTTATTATTTTAAATTTTGTTTTTTGTTGAAGTTCAATTTACAATATGTGTAGAGACTTAAAATTTGGATAGAAACCTTATATTAGCCTTTTCCAGTAAAATTTAGTAATTTTTGAGTGACTAATAGACATTTTAATTTTGGGAATTTTGTAAGTCACTTTTATTTGATAGGTACTCTGCAGATAAAATAATTAGTCTAAAAAGAATTTTGAAAATTTAACGAGAGGTTCATTCACCATATTATTTCTTCGAATTTTAGTAAAAAGAATTGTGTGTGAAAATAATGTACACAATGTATTATATTATATTTTAATAATATTTTGATTATAAAAAATGTGTCGCCCCTCCCCCCAGATCTTTGCTCTGGATCCGTGACTGGATCTAGACCGCCTACTTGGCCGCTTGAAAATTATGCCGCGCCGCATCCAAAAACACTGCGGAAAACGCATTTAAGCCGCTACGTTTGAACCCACCTTATAGACGTAAATTTGATAATTTTCATCTTACTTTTTTCCCACATTATATTAAATTGTTATAGAAAATACTTTAGATATAAATAAACATTTATTTCACTACTTTATTTAGTGCCACGGCAGCTGTATAAATATATATATTTGTATAATTTTACCTATAATTTAACCTATAATTTTATTTCGAATATTTCCAAATTAATCCGAAAACCTCTTGGAAACTCAACAAATTACCTCCTCAATGAACCAAAGAGACAAAATTTCCTTTCTGAAAAGGTGCTTTGGTATATATTCGTCTATACATCAGCGCAAGAGTTCTGGTAAAAAAGTTTTTCACAGAGACAAAAATAAAATACATTCTTCATTTCTCTCAGAATCTTGCTTTGAAATATATATTTAATTATTATTTGATCATATTATTCTAAAATATTAATACGTACCAAAGTTTTATAACATTTTTATATTCCTATATATTTGAATTTTTTTATTTTTTTTTAAATACGTTAGAGCTTATTGACCACTTCTATCCCCTCCAACTACCCTATATTATGGCCTTTTACCACTCCTCTCT